GAACTATGGAATGAGTCAGAGGGAGCTGTTGAAGTTGGAGGATTGTTCAAAAAGCTCAATAGGCTGTTGCTGTCAGGAGTGGTATTGGCTCGTGACTCCTCAAATTCAAGCTGTTGCAGTAAATTTTTCCCAGGGGATTGTGACCCTCCTCTGGCATGGCTACTTTCCAAGTCTTGCAAAGTCAATCCGCCCTTGTACCGCTTACCTGACGCAGAGCCAGAAGATTCTGTAGAATTTGGCGGTTGAGATTTCAACATCCCAAGCAAAATTGACGAGTCATTGTCCGCACTAAGAGTATTAGTAGGAGTTGCAGTATCCGGAAAACTAGCAGTAGCATTCAAAATAGCTGGATCTTCAAATGTTGATAAAGTCTCAGGAGTAGATGCTGCGTTGTTGCCCTTGAGCATGCCCATAAGCAAACTTGAAGATAATTCACTCTGGCTAGGTTGAGCAGTCGGCTTCAGAAGCCCAAGAAGTTCTGATTTCTTATCGGTGTCGCTAATGGAAGAATTAGTCTTGATATTAGGATTTTTGATGTCGTTCAAAAGACTTTGGCCAGCAAAAGTTCCACTACCAGAAGCAACAGGCTGCGAACCCTTTAGTTGACTGAGTAAACTTGCACTAGTGGCATCTTTCGAGAGCTCGGAAGTAGAAGCCTGATTCCCAGCTGGCTCGGATGCCAGTACCGCAGTATTGTTTTGGGCAGATTGTAAAGTATTTGGCTTGCCATGAAGCAAGTTGAGAAGTTGGAGTTCTGAAGACGAATTATTGGAAGTTGACTGGTTGTGTGTATTAGACTGAGGGGCCGAAAACCCCTTGATTTGATTAAGTAAATCAGCGCTAGGGTCGTATGAACTCTCAGATTCTATACTCGGATGTAGATTTCTTTCGTTCCCATGTGAGTCATAAGGAGTCGGGCTCCCGTTTCTTTGCCCTCCAGTTGGAGGATTTTTCAATTGATTTAAAAGATTAGAGCTCCCATTACCTGGGCCAGAACTGTTGTCAGAGTTAATACTGCTTGGTTTTCGAGAGTGGTCACCCTTAATAAGACCTAGAAGAATGTTATTCGCATTGGAAGGTGTATTATCTGCAGAATTGAGCACCCCAGGAGAAGCACCAGACTGAGGAGGGACTCCTCTCAGTTGATTCAGCAAACTAGTACTGGAAGGAATTTGTCCAGGGTGATGCCCAACATCAGTGATAGTGTTTCTAGACTGGGAATCTGAGTACCGGTTTGATTGAAGCTTTGAACTTTCAGCGGTAGTATCTGTATGTTGTTTGCTTGAAGCATCATCTGGTTGCTTCAATAAAGATAACAAGGCCATAGAACTAGAGTTACTGGGAGTATGCGAATGTGTAGGTCGTTTTTTGTGTTCCACGACTCTCTTGCCCTTAGATCTGGAGTTAAGAAGTGCTAGTAGCGTCGAATTGGGCAATGGCGTCTGCGTAGGCGATCTAGGAACATCAAAAACTGATTGTTGGATGGAGCCAGGTAAATTGGCATGCTGTTGAAGAGGAGTACTCGGTTCGCTTGGAGGGTGAACCATTTGAGGAGGTGGAGGTGGCATAGGGAAACCTTGTGGCAAGAATGGAGGAGGAACTGGATACCCGGGAACACCAAAAGGTACAGGTGCGCCAGGGAATTGAGGAACTCCATACTGAACATTTACACCAGGTGGAACAGGAGGAAGAAAGCCCATCTGAGGAACAGGATACTGCCATGGAGGTGGCATTCCGACTTGGCCCATGGGCAGAGGAAATCCGTTAGAAGGAGATTGAAAGTTATTGAGAGACTCATTCTCCTGGGATCGGTCGACATTTGTCTTGAGCAAAGAAAGAATTTCCGGAGCGTTGGAGTCATTAGAGTCTTTGGAAGAGTTGGCATTACCATGCAACAAATCCAAAAGAATATTTTTGTCAGTTTCAGTGCTTTCAGTGTTAGACACTGAAGGGTTGTTGGAGCTGTTCTTGAGTAACTTGAAAAGCTCTGCTGCAGGATCCTCCTTGTTGTTCAACTGAGATGGTGAAGAAGAACCGACACCAAGAAGATTTTTCAAAGCTGCAGTCTCAGAGCTGCTAAACTTGGATGGTAAGCCGCGTTTCTTTGCAATGAATTTGGAAAGACCTTCCATAAAAGGTGCAACCATAAAGTAACGTGTGCTGTCTTGGACAGTACTGTCAGATGAAAAAGCTGGAAGGCTGGTAACTTCATGCCATTCAATTTTGCTGATCTCCTTTCGTGTTTGAGGGCAGAATTTCGAGTTACCAGGGACGCCAGTCACAATGTAAAGCTTGAAATTCTTCTGACGAATAGTAACTTCAATAAAATCATCAGGGTTAAGATAAGGTGAGATGTCAAAGCCGATTTCTTCATAAACCTCACGAATCGCGCATAAATCATCAGGCTCGTTTTTGTTGATCTTGCCACGAGGAAACCCCCAAGTCGAGTTGGCTTTCCAGCCTTTGACCATCAGAGCCTTGGTCATCTTTTTATTGAGAATGATGGCACCTCTAACAGGAATTACACTCTTGTAGTTCTGGAAATGTGATGTCGCTTTTGAAACGTCGGATATATAATTTTTAAGGATAGGGCAGACATTAAACATGCTCTCTGCAAAAAACTTGAGCTTCATACTAGGAAACGAAGGATTCTGAACGCGTACAAAATCCTCGTAGAACCATTGTGCCTCTTCTAATTGAAAAAAGAGTCGCTGTAAATATTGTTAGAGCACTGGTTAAGAAGAACAAAAAAGATTTGAGGTTATGCGTACTTCAGGCTTTTCCAGATCTTCTGGTGGACAGTTTAATATAAACCTGACTGCCAGATCATGCAGTGCATTGACAAGTGAAAGATTCTTGTATGAAAATGATGACGGTATAGACATGTCGATAATGTGTCATTCAAAGTTCTAGAGAATAAATAAAGAAAAGGTAATGCTGAATAGAACAGTAGGGAATTATGATCTTGGCTTCTGTTGTGTAAAAAGTAAAAGCAAAGATACGAGATGAAGTGGAAAGTCAAAGCTGATAGCAAGTAAAATATTGTTATCAAAAAATAAAAAATGAAAAAGGATAATAGAGATAAAATGTTTTCAAACAATTAAAGATGTTTGATTTAATGAAGAATATCCTCTCTTCCGTGTGAATAGATTAAAATCAAGGTCTTTGTAGTTGTTGGTTGTCAATTGAGATGGTTATGGTGAACAGAAACTGCCTGGTAGTAGTTATTGATACTAGAAGTGTTGTGGCGAGTTATTCCAGACTGAAATTTTCTCATTCTCATATTTACTAATAGTCACATGCATTGTGAAAATATAATTTATCACGTGATATGTTTTGAAGTTTTTAGTGTGTGCTGTCCAGCTTTGGGTAAATTGGAGCTAACTGGTAATTTCTACCTCATGTCTCTCCATACACATGGAAAACAAAGAACATAATTAGATAGAAAATCAGTTTATTATCCTTACATCAAATGATTACAAATGAATTATATAACAAAAATGACATACAAAGAAGACATGTGATTTCCAAAGTAATTATCTCTATGAGACTGTCAAAGTAGCGGTATCAGCGCGCGTTATGAGTTCAGACGTTCGATGGCGCCGAATTTTCCATGAAAGTATCCATGTGCTAAGAGAAACCTGAGATACATAACACCCAGTAGCTCAATACCAGAGATTGACACCCAGTAAAACCTTAACAAGCTGCTTAATCAAGCGAACCATCAGCAAAGAAGTTGCGGTAATGAATCTAAGAACTTGACTACCGCTCCAAGGCCCTTCTTGGTATCAAGAAGGATCTTAGGATCAAGCTCCGGGGAAACTTTCCTCAACAAGTCTCTCTCTGCAGGGTGCAGAGGACACTCCTTGAGGACGT